ATTTAAAAGCTGCATTGTGGGCTGTTGGTCATTTTGGTAGTGTACCCCAAGGTGCTTGTTATTTGGCTAATAATGGTGTTTTACAAGCTGTTTGTAAAACTGCAATTTCTTATCCGGTATATTCAGTACGAGCAACAGCTTTATATGCATTGGCTTTGATTAGTTCTAATCGAGCTGGAGCTGCTCACCTTAGAAAAGCAGGTTGGAATGTTCTGTATAGGGTTTATTTAGAGGATGAGTTTTATAAAATCAGAGATAAACGAGCAGATCCCAATTTAGCATCCACCCCTTCTGATAGTTCTCAAGTAAGTATTAATTAAAAATAATATATATACAAAATATAAAAATATTTGTTTTGTAGGGCCTTGTTAGTGATTGGGTAGATGATACTGCTTGGGATCCAAGTGCTCAAGGTTCTGGGAAAAAAAAATGGTCCACTATGCCTGCAAACTGTGCATCATGGTCGCGTCATCAATCTCATATAAGAAGTTTGAGTGACAGCAAAACAACCGATGTTAGTCAGCAGCTAGAACAAGCCAACTCACCCCCGGAAAATTTGTTAGTACCTATATTTTAGTGTTTTGAAAATATGTTGCTATTAATTTTTAAAAATTTATATATTTTAGGTATACAAGTTATCGGTTAAGGTCTGATAGTAGTTGTACAGTAGATAGTAGTACCAGTGGAGTCAGTTCTGGTGAATCTGGACTATGTACTCGTCATACAGACTACAGTTTTTACCAGTAAGTTCTTATTTAGCTCATATTATTGAACATTTTAAATTTTAAAATATATTTTTTAATCTATTTAGTGACAGATATCAAACACTAAGTCCAATACCTAGTTCCAGTTCCTTGTCTACTATTCCTATTCAAACATTTTCAAAAATGTCCACAGTACCAGAAGGTAATTTCAATGGGTCAATACGATTTTTTAACTAAAATAAAATAAAATAAATATTTTTTTTTATATGTTTAAGGTTCTAAATTGCCAAGAAGAAATTCTTTCGGATATAGAACATTAAAAATGATACAGAAAGGTATGAGTCGGAAAAGTTCAAGAAGTATATCAGTACAGCATCAAACATCTGCAGCAGATATGTTTGATATGTTGGCTGACCAAGAAATGGACAGAATGTCTCCATTAATCCGACCTAGAGAATTTAGACAATCACTAAATACAAACTATTCACCGTAAGCAAATATTAAATATAACTGGTAATATTTTTTTTGTGGGAAATGGGTTAGTGGAAGTGCAGTCTCTCTAAAATGTACAAATTTACATGTTACATATTTTAAGTAGGAATATATGAAAATTCAGGGAATTTTTTACCACAAATTGTTGTGGTCGGTTGGCTAGTGAGTAGTGAATGACTCTGGGGGTGCATAAAATCAAAAGTATGCTCATTTCAACACATTTGTTGCTTAAAAAAAATAAATGGTAGTGACATGTTGAATTTATCATAAAATTTATGATAACTCACACAACTCATCCTTTTCTTTATTTTGGAATTAAGGACCAAAAAGATTAGTTATTTAAAAATAGATTGAAGAATAATTTAATTTGCCTACATCAACATCATTAAATTTTTTGGTAATGCACACCTATTTTTTCTATAGATCAAAAAACTTAATATAATCCCCATTATTTATATAACATATAATTTGAATAATGACATAATTGGCTCTTAGATTTGATCCAGAATCAGAGAAGTCTTCTCTTACATCAAACAAGGGTTGCCATTATATTATGAAAGGTAATGGTTGGATTGGATATTGAAATTTATTATTTTTTTTTTTTAAGTTGAATTTATTATTATGGTATTTACTTTTTCTAGATCAGTATAATGAGTTATGCTATGGCGGAATTGCGTTACCATTTGATCTTGGTTTGATTTTTTCCAATATAGAAAAAGAATCTGAATCTGTTCCTACTCCTGACTATGAAGATTCATCTTGTTTTAAATATTTATCAACTGGTAAGTGAACATTTTATTTGTTTTTTTCATATCAAATAATTAGATAACTTTGTATGTTCTAGGTCACTTATTTCTAATCATTTACTTCATAAACTTTTCATCTCTTTAATAAATCCATGAAGTTTTCACAATAAACATAATTTACCCATTAATTTAAATTTAGAAAAGATTTTTTTATACCGATGAATAATTCTGTTTTTAGTAGAACAATGATTATGTCAGAAAACATAAAAACTGAAATAAAATAATACTAATCAAATTATGTGGGAGAAGCTATTTTAGATGATTAAAAACATTGATGTATGACTTTTTATAGTTTAAAGAAAAGTTATAGAGATACTAATTAATTACTTCATATGAATGTATTAGTTATTTCTATAAAAACTAAAGAGTTTTATAATGATGTGGAAAACATGAGGTATCAGGTATGATGTACTTTGTATACGAAAATTCCAAAATTTTAGAACATTTTATTGATAAAAAAAATACTATATAAGAACCCCGAAAGGCACGATGTATACAAAGAATATCATTCTGTACGGCACAATACTACACAACAAGTACCTACTGCGGTGTTATAATAATTATAATAATGTGCGCTCACACAGAATAACATTTTTCTTGTGTGTTTAGGATTTCTCTCTATATTTTTTCGGGTGTGGGTGTGTTTTTCGCGCGGGGTGATGTCATGATGATCTGGCACATATTTACGGGGCAGCAGGGGGTCGTTTTATAATTATAATATTATCGTCGTCATTATAATTGTTGAGCTATATTAGTGTTTACTTAAAGCTACATTATAAAAAAAAAAAAAATATTATCTTCGTCGTCGGTCGGTCTCGGCCTTTGTGAATGCGGCTCATGTATGACATAAACTCACGAAATTTGCTCGTAAAACTATCGAACCGGTTCGTATTAAACGTGTCACGTCCGCGCACACTAAAGTCTCGACCCCGAAGGATGGAAGAATGTCATCATTAAAATACATTATACGTTTATTGTAGACGTATATCCATATTATTTTCGTATAATATGACGGCAATAATGATAATCTATTATACCACACCACTGCACTTACCACCAACTTCATCCGTTTACCTAACAGATTTTTTCTTTTAACATATTATTGTAATACATTCTTCTTCTTATTATTATTATTATTTACTACTATACGAGTTTACGACGTATATACTCTATAGTTACAGGCATATATGTACGTAGTACACTAGTATATAAGAAAGGCGATATTATCCCTCTCGGACTTCTGTTGAATCTTTTCGGAACCATTCGTGTAAAAACACTGTTCATTTTAAACACTATAGGAAAGTGTATAATGAATCTCGGGACGTCGTGAAGTCATTCTCTCAAAACCGCGACGGTCTACGTCGAAAATATGTGATAATGGATAGTAATATTATATTTGCGTCCATTTGCTAAACTCGGTTTTACTGCAGACGGTGTACATTCGTGGTATTTTAAGCAATCCTTATGTAATTATGTCATCGACAGACAAAAAATAAACAAACATCATTGTAAAATCAATATATTCATCGCTCCCCTAATATTGAGTGAAAACTTGGATGATTATTAAGATTTTTGAAAACGATGAAAAGTGAATGAAAATAATTAGAAATGATGAGTGACCCAGAACATACAAGAAGTACTTAACCTACACAAATATTTTATTTATATTTAAATAATCTTAAAAACTACAAATATAAACAGTATGTATTATGTATGGCGAATATTCAAATATTTAAATATAACATTGATTTTGTATTATTTTCATTAGGTTCCGAAGTTCTCAGTACTGATGATTCAGATACCGAAGAAGTTATAGCTGATCCATTACCCATTAGACGACAACGAAGCCATAACCGATCTATGTGTATGTTATGTTCAGTTAATGAACATGTAAATCGATCTGCTACTCGTAATCGTAAGGTATCGTCCAGCTCCCTTAGACGATGTCGAACTGGTAATGTTAAAAAAAATTCCAATTTATTTTAGTAGAATGTCATAATCTAAACCCAATATTACTGTTTTAGAGACTGAAAGTAGTTATGGTATGGGAGTTGAAGGAGAAAGTCCAATACTATTGCCATGGCAACACAATAAGTCTTCATGCCTTCACGAAGCTTCCGGTTTTGGTACTGGAAGCAACGAAAGTGGTGCTAGTTCTGATATAAGCAGTAAGTGTAACATCTTAACTTAAAATAATAAATAGGTTATGTTTCACATATTTTTTATGTGTAATTTTCTATTATTTTGTTTATGTAAGCAAGTTTAAATCTATATTTAAATTTACTTAAAACAGAAGTTTAAAAAAAATTGTTTGTTTGAATAGGTTAGTACCAAAATACTTGTTGAATTTAAATGTATAATGTATTTTCAATGTGCATTATGGAATATTCTAAATTATTACATTTTTATTAGGTCTGGCGCAGAGGTCAACTTTAGCTGATCGAATTACCAAGAGCCGTTCAGCATTACGACTAGATATTTTAAAACTTGTTGAACAATTACCAAATCCTGTTTTGTACAAAATGTCTACCCAGAGTCTTTTACAGTATGCTTTTTTTTAATTTCCTTTTTAGTACATTTTACGATTATACATACACACTTTTATTTTATTAACATGTATATTTTGTTAATGTTTTAAACAGAATGAAACAAATGTATGGTGACTTGTTTCATGATATATGTGTTTATTCAGACGTTTGTAATTTATTAGCCGACCACCATTATCACATTCAAGCTAGGCGTTATATGCATGAACTGTTTTTGGACGCACCATTCAAAGAGGTAAATATTTTATAATTTATAACACTAATCATTGCTATAATTAATTTTATTTTTATAGCTTTATGATGAACCAGCCACGATACTTGGCCGCCAGAGTCCACTTGAAACATTAAGTACAAATTGTATAAGTAATGATGAGGTAGAAAAAAGTCACGGGGAGAGTGAACTTGAAGTTATCATGGAAGCTGAGTTGGAACATAAAAGGAGGTCTTCGGAAGTCACAGCAGAATTGAAACCGACTGCGACTATAATTAGACAACGTAAACAAACGGTGTATGATTCTTCTAGTCAACGATCACAAGAATAATTTATTGGTAGAAATATGAAATAGCAGGTGTTCACAAAAAATGTATTGTTTTGTTTCCTTAAAAAGTTATTAATATATATATTTACATGTACCTAACCTATATGTATTAAAAAATATATATTTATAAATATTTACAAAATTGTATTAATTTAATTAGGTATTTAACAATAATAAATGTGATCCAAGTATGCAAGTCTCAAATGATAAAATTTGCACAAAAATCTGGCGATAAAATTGAAACAAAAGATTGCATTATTCTTCTTCATCTTAATGCTTGGAATTATATCGTACACTTCTCTATGAATTGTCTCATTTATGTCGTTGTTCAATGTGAGTGGAGTTGACGTTAACAACCACGTATAATATATTATTTCAGACCCCAACAGTACTTCATAATTGATCCTCTTCAGCGCTATGGGTACTCCATCCATATTAGTGTATATATTATAATATTATGATTGGGTAGAAAAACAGCATTTGAAATGCTTTGACAGGGAACTGTCCTCCGGCACGACGTCTCTGCCACTCTCCAGGTGTAAACCTCACCGAAGTCGACCCATACGGTGGTGGTTAGGAGTGAGGAGGGGGTTGAGGAGAGCATCGATCACTCTCTGAACTTGGCCTTGATGTAGGACGGCAGCGGAGCAACGTACAGCAGGACGTTGAACACGGCGGCAGCGACCGGGAACACGAAGCTGGCGACCAGGTTGATCTGCGGGTCGGCCACCGCGGCCGGGTACCGCTCGTTGACATAAGAAGCTCCGTCCGGGTACCGGCACTCGAACGGCTCGGCCGCGGGTTCGGAGCAGTTCTGGGCCGCGTTTTGCCACAACCCGGTGTACTGCTGTCGGCCGTCAAAAGCCTGGGCCGTCAGATAGGCCCCGGCGTACCTGGTCTGCGTGACGTAAGTCACCCACGACAGCCATTCCGACATGCCCCGGTAAGATCTGCGGAAAGAGACGATCAGATGATGCCGTTTAATAGTAAATAATAATTATAATGGTCGACACGAAGACGGTTAAAATATGATCGCGACGTGTAGCGAGCGCCGTGCTGGTAGCAAACACGTATTATACATTTCGGTAATAATGTATGGCAATAATATTAAATATTAATGGTTTTTTTTGGGGGGGGGAGGGGGGGCGTGACACTATTTATCAACAAAGGTTAGTAGTGTTGTAGTATAGTATTATGTAACCATTAATAATTATCGAATTACGTCTTTGTCCTCAAAAATCGAGTTGAACAACTTCTAATTGTTCCGTACCGCGGAATCATCGTCGGTGGCCCAAATCGTACGTAGATCTGTATGTTATTATGATATTGTCTTAAATTTTGATTGTTAAGTTATGATCACTCGGCGTGGTGAATAATTTCATAAATTATGACGTTCTGCATATATTTTTACAATCAGAATTATATACATATTTTTTTATTAATTATCATTTTTAAATTATAATTATAAATTCGTAAAATCCTTTAACAGCAATGGTGCGCCAATAGAAAAACAATTTGAGTGCATGAAATTCTCGTATAAATCTTATATATCATTGATGAAGATTTAGTATTATTATTTAAGGGGAGTTAAGCTTTTTTAAATATGGGTACCTTCTATATTAAAATATGCAAGGAAATTCTTTATCCGCCCCAATAGGTACATTTATGTGCGTATTTGATTTGTGCCAAACCACAGAAAACACCAATATGTATTATGTGCTATATCTAAATATTAATTTTGGTAAAATGCGTTACGATAGGAAACAAAATGGCATATGGAATTTGCGCCACACTTTAAATTTCAATTTATTATTGGAATTTACCTGATCATTAATCGAGGTCAAATTAGTTATATATTTATAGTATAATAAGACGTGAATAAATAACATGGACTATAATTAAGAACATAAACAATTGGACAGTGAATTATAAATTATAATTCCAGATTTTTTCATATTTATTATTAACTGAAATATTAGGTACCTACTCAGTTGTACACACAGAGACATTAAGTACTTAAACCAATATACCTACAATTATATCAACGAACTAACATTTTTTAATTTTACTTTTACATTTTATTTTTTATTTTTTTTAATTTAATTAAAATAAACTAAATTGACGAATTAAATACATACGAATTAGGTTTTAATTATTATTAATTATTTTAAAGTAGAGCGAAATACAATTTTGTGCAGATTACATAATGCCCTTTTATGTAGTTTTATGTAGCGCAAATTGCAACCTTAAAAAGTAGTGCAAATTACAAAATTAATTTTTAGATATGGCACAAATAAATTGCTTTCTAGTTGTTTTTGGCGCAAATTTCATACGCACAATTAATCTTCTTGATCGGCCGTCAATAGTTGCACAGCTCTTTATTATTATTTATTAGGGCTGCTCGGTTGTTTTCCACGCCTTATAAATAATTGCAACAATCAAATTTCAATATTGATCGAAAATAATCGAAAGTATATTATTCGGTTATTAATCAGTTATTTATTGAGATAGTCTGATAATCGGAAGATGGTTATTCGATTGTAGTTTAATAATTGATAATAATCGAAAAATTGATTAAATTATCTACAAATAGATTATATTATGGGTTTAAAATAATCATGCAGCCTTGTTTATGATACAAGTATACAACGTACCTCAGCATCCCGCTGCCCAGCACGATCATGACACTGACGATGTAAATACAGAACACACTGGTGTTGTAAGGGTTCCTGGATATGGCCATCACGGCGACGACCAGCTGTTCGGCGAACAGGTAGCAGCTCAACAGCACGGCCGCAAAAAGACTCAATTCCGTCCAGTCGTCAAACTTCATCAGGCTTGACAAAAACAATAAGCAGTTATAGTTAAAAATCCCGAATTTGTATTGTATTATAATATACATATATGTAACGGGTATTATCAACCCCTGTTTAAAAAACCCCCAATCCCTCTACTTATGGCACATTTTTTCTTTTGAAAAAGTTGCTGTGCGGGGATGAGGGGAATAATAATAATCACTGGGCAATTTTTGTTCATTTAAGTCTTATTTACGTACTGCACTGAAATAGCAAAGGATATATTATAGTTTGGTACTTCGGTGTTAGTGTGGAAGCACGCTAAACGACACGATGGCCGCTCGATGACGATATTTTATGATACTGTATGTAAAACGTGTGGTGTAGATAATATGTGTGATTCGAGCAAATCCTGTTTGCAAAAGATTTATTTGCATAGAATTATTAATTTTGGGAGGAGAGCGGGACAAATAATCAGCTCTAGTTTTGAAAGCAGCACTCCATAAATCATAATATATGCCATTATTGTCGACTAACTAAAAACTAGAGTTTTCAGCATCCCCAATTTTCGTCATTGTAATTGCGCCACTGCGATTAGAGTCGAAATCTAAAAGACTTAACTGAAACTATATAATATGTAGGTATACTAAAATTAATTATTAGGCATATAGTGGCTTACAATAGGATTCAATTGGGGGAAAACAATGACATTTATCAACGAATTGTTCCAATTTTCTTCCACGCACCTCAGCTGGTATTATACACAGTACGAACTAGCTACATTACGTGCGTTATCTGGCAAGTGGGTGACAAAAAATCTAACTCATAATAATGTACCTATTATATAGGCATATAGCTATTATTATTTTTAATGGTTGTGCTGAGTAGATATGCAGCTTATCTGTCTATATAATGTAGACTCTTATGTATATAAAATATTTGTTACATATGCAATATCCGGTACTCACTGGTACAGTATGGCCGACGATCCAGAGACGGTGAGAAAAGCGAGCGGCAACGAGAAAGTGAAATAACTGACGAGGAAAAGTGGTCCGTTGTACGTGCCATCTTGATTTTCCTGATAGTATCGTGTCCTGTGAGGAGCAACTGAAACCATGAAAAGGTACACTGCATCATACGTACGTAATCACTAAACATAATATTGAGTATGCGGGATTCGATTGTAATTGCGTTATATAACATATTCGTATTATCATTATGATTTATTTTTACCATAATTAAAAATATTTTAAGATATATTATGTATTTACCAGATAATTATATTTTTGTAATTGAACTCGCCACGGTCCAAGACCGTTACGCGTCGCGCTCTTGTGTTTAATATTTTAATTATTGTTATTTATTTTTTTTATCATCAAAATCGACGACGTCGACACTCCTCATAATTTGGATATAATAGTATATTATATGGTATTAGGTTATAAACTATACGCACTCGGGTTCACTGCTACTATAACTAGTTAGTATAGTTACTAGTTAGCCGCGGTTCGTTTGTATAGAAAGTGTCGTGAAATTCCTCGTTCGCGGTGTCTTGTGTTAAGTATATCTAAATGTCAAACCGGACATGATTTTCTTTTTCTTTTTTTATTAAAAATATAATACCTAATACCTACGAGACTAGCAATTTTTGCATAATAATTAAGTGGGCGAATTGGTTGACATACTCCAACTGTGGGACTTGCATATAAATATTTATTTTTTCATAGCGTATAAGTCGCAGGATCAAAAAGATCACGACACTAACGTCTTTTGAGACGGCGCGGCGAGGGTGGTTGTTAGAAATTGTAATAGAGTATTACGTATTTACGTAAATAAGATTAGTGGTGGAAAAGACATTTTTGTGGTGAGCTTTTACTAAATGGTCGCAAGTTTTAATATTTAGGTCCATATGTTCTTTTGGAACGAACCAGAGAACCCTAAGAAGCAGAAGTGATATTATATTGATTATAAATTCTATTTTGTTTTTAATTGGATATGATTTTTTGTAAAAAATATTTCTTGAAACTTTCTCTTATTATAGTCTTATGGATGTGTATTTACGATAACGTTTTAAACTACAAGTATAAGTAATTATTAATTGGTGTAGTCTATTTGTCTATAGGTATATTTTTTTTTTCAAATTACTTGAAAACAATTATGTACGCATATCTGATCATTATAATATTCAGGAACACACTACAAACTAAACATATACATAATAAAACAATGTTAGGATACAATATTTTTATTACACTCGACGAGTGATTTTGCTTAATAATTCTTAAATATTTTGTTGGTACGAGTATCTTGTTTTTCAATCGCAAACCACCAATAAATACCGATCGCTTTCGATACTAGTTTACTTATCTACCTATAATATTATATTGATTATTGATAATATACATTTTTCTGGGGGTTCTCATTGTTTTAGGGGTTTTGTGGACGACGATTGTCGTGTAGTATTTATTTTATTGCTACCCTTACAATAATTTTAAAATTATGTTCATAGTTGGATACAGTTAATACCTTTAAATATCCAGCATTCTCACAACTCAACAACAAGTGACTATTGTCGAAGCTTTTACGGTACAACCTGAACTACCTTGTAATTGACTACCTAGGTGCCTCAATGAGTAATGTAATTTCATCACTAAGAAGTATTTAGGTACTATTAACTATATTATACCCAGCTCTACGCATACAACCTAGTTACAAATTACAATAACAATGAGTCAATAGCCGAATGACCAATATAGTAAAAAAAAAGTTATAATTTATAAGTTGTTATATATATGTAAATAAGTCATATTGTGTATATTTTATATAGTATTTAATATACACTATAATTTTGTCTGTATATTGTTGGGATATCTTATTACTTTTATCCGTGTATTTAGTTTTTGAAGCATTTCGTCAACGTTATTTTCTTTTCATAAATAAGCGTATGGGTAGCACCCTCTTTATATCGTTACTCATTATTGAATAATAATTACTTACACGTGTACGCCGTAGTGAATATTGAAGTCAAATACGTCGTCGTTATGCACGTCAACAGGAGACCGCTGCGGGACATGAACGTCGTCTGGTAGTCCTAAACGGTAAAAAAGTGAAAATCATACTCTACTAAATCAAATTCAGGGGAATGGAATAATGTATCACCGTCGATTACTTACCTTAATGTCGTGGAAAAACATCCAAATCAACAGGAATGCGATGGGCATGGCGACGAGTCGTGCTGACAAGTAGAACAGAGCTTGCCAGGAACATCCGAAAGTAGACGCGAACTGGCGTCTAAAAAGTATATAGTTTTTTAATTATATACACTGGTATTGAAGAGAAATAGATAAAATATAGGGTGACAAACGTTTTTTCCACCCTCCTCTTTCATTACTAAATAAGACTATCGTCGTTATAACTGTAATTCTTGTATAATTTTAACATTAGCTAGGTATGTCAATAAATATTTTAGTAAAATTCGGTTAGCTTATTTAGATATTTAGATATTTAGATTAGCAATAAAAAACCATAACATGCGTTTTTAAACAAAACTTTTTTTTATTGTGGATAGCCAACTACCTTTTTCACAAATCTATTGTCATCTTACACTGTTAGGTACCTTCATTGATATATTTGTGGTTAAATCGTAACTTTTTAATTATTATTTGTTATACAAACGAATAAACGATTCGCTGTTGGAGGACGAAGTGTATAACGAAAAACACTACTAAAAATACACATATATTATGACTTACTTACAATTACGTATATAGGATATATTTTTTATACTAAATATATTATGATGTTATATACTTAGGTATACTGCAAAATAAACTATACAAAATAATGTACGCGTAATTCATGTTTAATATTCGCATTCTAATTTATTAATGTGTCCAGACATCCGGTTAATTGTTGTTATATTAATTTAGTATGTTATTAAATATTGTAGTATAAACTACTAAGGTATACAGTTATACAGTTTATGCGTTCATGTCGGGTCTATTATAGGTATATTTTAAGTTTGTACTAAGTTGAGCAAGAATATCCTGCGGGAACGTTTTTTTTTAAACAATCGTGTTAGCATCGCCTACATTTCAGCGGTTGAAATCAGAACAATTCTGTTGACACGACATGGATTTTTTCTCTAAAGAGAACGGTGGTTGCTATTTACAACAATATAATATTATATTATCACGATAGGTGAAATAATAAATCTATGACAGTATATAATACATAGTTGTACAGTCATGGGAAAATATTAACGATCGATTGCAGCATGATCGGGTCAGTTGTGTAAATAATTTATAGTATTAATTATATATAATATAATATAGTGCCGCTAAGATCAATCTAGGTTTTAATGTTTTGTGATATTACTTGTGTAAAAAATTATAATTATGTTTTAGACCACGAATATAGTTGTATAGGTATTCCCTACCTCCAATGAATTATAATTGTATTGTATTTCGAAACTCGTCAGCTAAATACATCAATTTGGTAACTACAACTACCTACGTACCTAGGTACCTAAATACGTTGCTAGTTTAATATTATATGTAACTACAGTAGTCCAGCAGTAGTACTATATTATATTATACAAATTATAGTCCAGTGGATATTATTAATTTTGAAAAGGGATTTTGAGATATTCAATACATTTTATTACGATTTATCGATGTTTTTACAAAAGTTGAACATAATAAAATATACCAATTTTCCTATACAGTTTTTTCTCCCGAATATAATTTACTAGGTAGGTTATAACACCTGTAAACTACAGTCTACGTATACAATATGTATATATTGTTATTAAATGTGCGGGTACTAAAGAATACATTTTGCCTCTTTTATTCCAGCCGGAAAACTAACAGTATATATTCTAAATGTGCTCTGTGTAAACGAAAATGTACCTAAAGGTTTTTTTTTTTGTGACTGGATTCGTTAGAAAAGTGTAAATATGTGTATACATGGGTATTTATTATGCGGCACGAGTACAATAATAATAATGTTTGTGATTCGAAAAAAACTACATTTTATACAGCTCTATATAATAAGAAATAACTGCAGTTGTAATGTTTTTCTATATAAATACTTTTGTTATTTTGAATGCAAACGTATTATTATTTTGAGGTAAGTATATAGCATTGCTACAGAGCGCAGGTATAATACAGTTTTGTTTCGTTTCGGTGTCGTAAAAAACGTAAAATGAGCGGCGACGGCATTGCAAATTTGACGTTCGTTGTTCGACGGCAATAATGGGTCATTGTTGCGAAATCGAGCGAGTCGTGTCATAAATGTAAAGAAAAACTTATCGGTTATGACTCGCAGTGTGTAATCGTTTTTTCTTCGAGTGTACGTTGAAAAAAATATACAATTATAAATCGTCAATCGTTTGACGAACCGAAAAACGTGTCACGTATTCATATTATAGATATCATTTCTGCTGCAACTTACTGGTACAACGTCATTCCGATTTGTGTGGTCGAAGACCCTTGTGCCGAATATGGATACGGATGTGAGTTGGGTTGGTGGTCACTGGGCGGTGACCCGAGGAGCACAGACATTGCAGACGACTTCCTGTAGGGCGCCCCTTCCATTTTAAACTTCTCCACCAGCGCCACGATTTGTGCATTCGACTCGACGAACCTCTCGCGTGATCGCCGATCCACCGTTGACAAACACACTGTGAACAGATTACGGATGATTGATTGTTCGCATAGTACATTTCGTATAATAGTATAATAGTATCATATTGGTATGTCCTGTGACGTGCCATGTCAAAAACCTAAAACAATACGATACAGGCATACACCATACACTATGTGGTTGTTCAGCTGTTGTAATTTTTTGATAAATCGAACTTTTACAATAAAAAAAATTATGATTATTATTATTCATGGACATTGGACATGATTTACGTTGATTTTTTTCTAGATCGCTGACCTTTATATATATAATATTACCTATATCACATAACCAAATAGAGTACAAATAAGATTTAAAAATGTCCATAAATAATCACTGACTTGGCATATAATTTTATAATATTTATGGTGCCTGTAAACGTCAAATTATGTGACATTAATAACTAGATCTTCCTAAGATAATCATGGTTGTGTATAGATTTACCTGCGTATTATCTATGGTTTTGTTCGGAATTATGCAAGCACGACTTATACATTGGCGATTAGTTACAGATGTTTTTGCATGGATCTAATTTGTTGTCTCAAATTGTTAACGTATGGTGAAAATTTAACTACCTACGTATTCTTTGAGATCGTTTCAAATTATAATTTATAATATAGTAAATATTATTAAATAATAATAATAGCAATACAATTATTTATAATATACACATAGAAGGTACGCATTTTATTATAATAATATACCCAACGCTGCAGATGTTTACATTCACCATGACTAAATAGTAAATAATGACCAAATCTCTTAACTCTAAAAAAAACGATAGAATTAGCACAATAGCGTCAAAAAGCTGGAAGATTCTTGATTCGATCTCATATTATGCGACCTTATCGCCACCAGGCTACCGCGCTTCAAGTACTAATATTAAGTATGTACATTGTAGATACACCGTAGTTAACTAAATCAATAACTTAATATTTTTATATCTGACTTATATATATAAACGTACCAATTTTTAAAATCTGGGGAAGAGTTCAGAGGTATTTGTAGAGTTTACAGCAAAAATCGGTATAGGTCGTATAATTTTTGAGTATTAAACTTGCCTAATTTAAGTTTTGACTTAACGTCTTAACCTCAATATTTGGAAGTACACATATGCATATTGCATTGGAACTTAAAGGTTATAGTATTATAGGTATCTCAACAAATTCAATACAGGTAATATAAATTATTAAATACAAAATATCATGTATCAAGTAAGTATGCTGTAAATATTCAAATTTAAAAACTGTGATACACCGGTCTAGTGGAATCTAGAAGAGTTCAAAATAATTAACTTTTACTCAGGGCCAAAGACAACCTCCTGTATACTGGCCTTCATGCTAGAAATTTACCCAATCCCCATAATGTATACTTCTGCAGTTTTACATGGTTTTAGGTTTCTAAACACAAGCTTATATGAGTTATATCCCCGTTGCGTATCTCCGTCCGTCAGTTACCAACTAGTACATATAGTAACGATTGTTGGTATTAAAGTATTTATTTACGATTGTTGTCTGTTGATATTAAGATAAATATTAATTACGTATTGTACCTATACGTTTTAATATAGATTTGTACTAGTCAAAATATACTACCAAAGTATTAAGATTAACAAATTATGTTAAAATTGTATTTGGAATTATAGTATATACTATATATACTATTGTATTAAAATATATCTGGAACCTGAAAATTTAGAACCCTCGCAAAGTGAGTTTTCCGAACTATTTTTAAGTTTAAAATTTAAAATTTGAATGATACTGCCTTAATATATTTTTTAAGAGGCTTTAATGAATTATGGGGGGGGAGTGTATAGAATTCCTTTTTGCCACTCTCCGCCCAACGTAGGTATGGTAATGGATATATTTGTTATCGAATATTAATTCAGTTTATAAAATTACTAAATGAGACTATGAGAGAGACTACTAGAGTGTTGGTTTCGAGATATTAGACGTTGGTACGCAGAGTAACTTGTTTTGGTTTGTGTTTAACCGTAAACGTGAATGCATTATAAACACATTTATAAATTGTGCTCATATATTTATATACAATATGAAAATAAAAACTATCAATTTTACGTTATTAAATAATAATCAAAGCAATTTTAATTTGTATGTTTAAATTACGGTGACCAGTATCCAGAACAAGACCTTCGATTAACATTTATGATATCATATTATAAATACGCAGATAATATGCATAAGGATATGAGGACATGAGATGGGTAGTAGGTACTTTTATAGGTATTCTATATTTTATATGTGAATGTATATAATGGGCATGTACAATCATAAACAATAAACATGTTTCTAAATTTATATTAAATGTATGCATTTATATTAAATGTATGCATTTATATTAAATGTATGCATTTATATAAATGTATGCATTTAATTATGAAGACGAAGCAATCTATAATAACCTATACTATTTTATAATATCTAAATATTTAATATATGTACGATTATTGCATAAAACATAATTTTCCAATAACGCGATTAAACGTAGTATAAAATAATTCTACGTGATTATTTTGAACATTGAACTTTTGAAATGTTTTAAAAATGTAATTTATATCATATAATTAGTATACACAATACATATATCACACGACACAAGTATTATTTATTGTACATTTGTACATACAGTTAGATGAAGACATGCTGTTTTTTTTCACCATCAAATATCTACAGAATTTCAAAAAGCATTTTCTTTGCTAAACATAAAATATAATATGTTGTGTGAGTATTATTATTATTATTATTATTTTACATCATAGTTTAAAACGCGTAGAAATTGCTTGGTATGAAGGATGATTGTATACGGTATTACGAATATTTACGATATGTGTCATTCATAGAAGAAATCTAATTAACATATTATAAACGTGCCAAATATTTCATTAGTTAAGATTTAATTTTTAACAAGTTGTAGTTAAAGGCGACGGAGCTGGTGCATTTCTAGTACAAAACATGTCTTACAGGAAAAACTCTCACACCCTGTGGAATAGTCGGATTTCGTAAATTTTTTCTTTATTTAAAAGAAGAAGACATTTTGCAGGTCAGATTAAAGCCAGATTTAAGCCAGATTTTCAAAATTATAACTACACAAGCAAAAATATGCATTTGAATAATGCACAATATTTGTTCTTTTTCAAACAAATCTTTCCAGCATTATTCAAAGGAAAAATATAATTTGGATTTTGATCCGATCTGAAAAAGTTCTTTTTTTTAATCCGACTATTATACAGAACATGACAGTTTTTCCTGAGAATTCATTTTTGTTGTTTTAATACACCTATCAACCCCCCCCCCCCTCTAAATAATCATCGGGCAGTAGATTAGTGGAAAAGTATTAAAATTGAGTAGTAACTAAAATATAAAATAGAAGAAAATTGGAAAACCGGCACCGACATTAATTATTATATTTTACTTAGTATTCTCATAAAATATCATGTGTTCCCTATTACTGTAAAAATAAAATGGTTTCAGAAAGCCGGCTCTATAGTTGAAAAACCAATTTTACTCACGATAGTACATAAGCGGATTTTCCATTTCTGGACACGGAAAGCCAACCGATCGGAAATAGTCCAACATCATTCTAGTCGGTCCCGCGTAAACCAAGTCACCCAAACACAAGTAAGCAACGCGTTCGAGGAACGGAAAAACATCCGATCTTGGTTTTTCCATAGTGAGTATTACAGCCCGCCCTCTGCGCTTTGCGTGGCTGCTGACCATTGACACGACTAAGTACGTAGTTAACGGGTCCAACCCAGCGGTCGGCTCGTCCAACAACAACAACACTGTAATAAAATAAAAATTTCACATTATTCAATTATTGTCTAAACTTCTTGTTTTTAATAAATAGGATTTCGTATAGAGCAGTTTTTACCTGGATCTTTGACTAACTGCGTCCCGATCACTAGCCGCCTGTACTCGCCTTCGGTTAATGCCTCTACACTGTGCCTGGCCACTTGACTCAGGGCCAAGTCTGCTAACACTTGCCTGACCCTGGAGTCTTTAACGTAGCCACTGACCTGAGAGCCGATAGATAAATTAGCTGCATAGTGTAGTGTTTGCTGTACAGACAACGATGGGACAAGATCAGCTCGGTGGCCAACATACGCACAACACTGGTTAAACATAGCTTGTGTAAGAGGCCTCCCGTCCAAGAGGATTTGACCGCGAGACAGTCCCTTGCTTCGTCTGGCAATGACTTCTAAAAGTGCTCGCTTACCACTTCCTATATATAAAGTTAAATACTATTTTAAAGTTAATTATATTATAATATAATATAGCTATACAAGTATTGCCATCCCTGAATAGGTAATATATACCACTATAATCTAATTACCTATTGCTATTATTGATGTAAACATATAGATTAAGGTTAAAAACGTCAGGACTTTTGAGCTTTATTTCGTTACAGTTTTATGAAATTGTTTTAAATAATTAAAATAAAACATTTACTTTAATTTCCGTACAAAACATTTAATAGTTAAAAATAATTTAATAAATACATAATTTTATTTCATAATATTGTGCTTATGAAAATTACTATCATAAGATATTTTCAATTCGAACTAATAAATCAAGATTATTGAAATTTAATTACAAGGCGTAGGTAAGATGTGTACTACAAGTATAGGACTGTAGGAGTTTAAAATGATTTAATTGCATCCCTCACGCCTCTGTTTTTTTTTAATACAGCAATAAAAGTAGGTGGTATCCGGTGTGATGATCGCTGCAATAATATAGTTTACCTTTTGATCCCAGTATGGCCATCACTTCGCCAGCTCGAACTTCCAACGTGATATCCTTGAGTATGAGCCCCGTCTGCACGGACCCGAACAGCCTTTGGAAACATGAGGCGGGTTCCACTTGGCCCGTGTGGAATATGTTGTTCAGCTCCAGAGAATAATCGCCGCCGATCATTTTGGACGGTTTCATCGTAACTGAACGGCGCGTCAGCGCACAGTTATGTTGCGTGTGCAGCACAAGAACTGCTGGACCGAAACCTCTATCCATTTGTTGGCAGAAGGTCGTTGCCACTGTAGCCAACCGCGTCCTGTCGTTTTCCTATATGGTACAGTAGAGTAACTCTAGAGGTTAAAGACCGGTTTAGTTGGCTGCCTTGGATCGTACCTGCTCGCCGCCCTCTCAGGTACCTGGTGTGCAGGTGTCTCGGACGATTTCACACACCGCGGCAGTTCGTATCCACCGCCGCTTACCTGTTCGTCGTCTGTGCGCAATATTCCCTCCAAATGTGCTGTAAAGTCGGGTTATCGAAAAGTGGCGATTTTTTTTGAAGACACCGATCTCGATAATGACGTGAATAGCATAAGTATTTCAATACCAAAGTGCTACACGATACCGCTACATGTACAAAGGCCATCATCGTAGTTCAGGAGCCATTCGATTATGGACAGATAGCTGAACATACGTTTCTGTGCAGTAAGTCTATGACGTATAATTAAGAAAATGCTCTATCCATAGCTTTTTTTCGTGCAAATAATGATAACGGATTTGTCGTTTTTGAGAGCAAAATATTATTTAAAAAAAATATTTTTAACATTTTGATCGAATAATGTAGGTTTTAAGTGGTGGGTAGATACCTCTTCAAACAACATTGTCATTGTTTAATATTGGTACTGCAACGGGTTGGTCAAGTCGCAGGGGCGTCCCTCCATTCGACCGAATACAAACAATTGTTCGGTGAATGTTTATTTATGGTTTTTTTTCTAAATGACAACGGGGCGCGGTTGCGTTCGTATGGCAAATTTGTAATATAATAATAATATCATGTGGGTAGTAAAATAACGAAAAAAACGGTGACCAGTCCTGAAGGAATGCAACGCGTTGACCTCTAAACTTGGCAAGGGGCACGATAATGGGTATTGGCCATTGGGATCTCATATATTATAATACCTATTGCACGGTTTTACATAGATAAGTACTTACCTATATTGGTGTCACAGGAAGCTTATTGCATTTACGGCTAAATTTTGGCTGTATTATTGCAGTGTGTTTTATGTTTATTATTCACGTGTACAATGGTCACGTATATAAAGTATATTATGCACAATTATTTTTGGAAAGGTTGTGAATAAACCAGGTTCACTTTAAGACCAGATTAAGGGGGCTAATGTCAAGTTGATGTCTCCAAAATTTTTCTTTTTTATCCAACGAACGGTTGAAAGGTTGTGTTTATGTAAACATATTATCTGTTGTAAACAAAATTGGTGTTTCATATTACAGGAATGTGTAAGCATGAATCTGAGAAACTTATCTTCACTTAATTGTTCAAATGTAGCAAAATATGTAATGTCAATGTGTATACTCGTACTGTACACAGTTTCATCGGACGACAGTCCCTAATAACAAATATATTATTATATATGAATTTTAATAACATTGTCCTTCAATAATGCCCCCACAAATATTCTACTTGAGTGTTACCACATTTATAAATTCGCCTGGAAGGAGTTTCGTCGGTGATAATTTGTCTTATGTAGGTATATTGTATAATTTCACATTTAAATTACCACTGCGGTATATACGATTAAACAAAAACATTTTTTTTTGTGATGGAGGTTGGTTAAATCAAGAAATTGGGTGATCAGAACTGGCCAAAATAATTCATTTCAAAAAAAATTGCCACTGGAAAAAATGTTTGGGGTGGTGGGAGGGTTGTTATCCACCAAAACCCTCTCTTATTAACTGTTAATACACCACTGTACTAGCATATTGCTATAAATATCAACATATTTATTACCTATGTGTATGTCTTAGAAACAGTTTTATGTTTTGATTTTTACGCGGTAAACAATTTACATCTTAAAATGGTAAAAGTTAAATAGCTGCAGCAAATATAATGACTAAATACTATATACTATACTCGTACATTTTTGCATTGACAATATTAAAATAAATAATGAAGTGGATTCGTATATTTTACAAAACTAAGATCTAATACACAAACATTAAAGTTTCACTATTTTTTGCCTATAAATATTAAAAATATCAGTAGATTTATCATATATACTACAAATTAAATCATTACTATTTATTTATATAAATACATTGTATGTATATATATATATATATATATAAATGCACTGTGCGTATGTAATTGTAATGTATTCATTAGGCATAAGTTAAAATTTATAGCTACACAAATTTTTATGTTTATGCAAATCTTGTAACTATTTGTCATATAGGTTTTGTTTTTACGTGTCTAGTATAATAAGCTTACGTATAATCATGTGTACCTACCTATTTTAAACGTGACACTTGATATTTCATTCTATTATATACAATATTTACTTCTACTGAATAGATTATAGATACCTACCTATTACAGACAATTTTGCATTTCTAAAATATGTTCGTAATATATTAGTTTTGACTGTTGTAATTTTTAAGTATATATGTTTGAAAGTTTTTGAACTATCATGCAGGTAAATGGTAATAATTACCATATAATATAATAGCAGGTACAGGTACAGGTACAGTGACATTTATAAAAAAAAAGACGTATGTTTAAGGTCTTATCAATGTTTATATTTATTTATCTTTAATTAAAAACAATAGAAATATATTAACTTACCCACGAAAATTACAAATAAATAATAATTAATTAACTTCTTTAACAATTATGTTCAAAACTTATTACAAATTAAAAACATAACTTTAGAACGTTGTTCGCTAAATGTTGAATGTATTCATGTGGGATATTCTAGCATATAATGTATTGTTTTAAAACTAATTTTACAGATATAAAAAAAATGGTTTTGATGATAACCTTTCTCATTTCGAGAACGTATATTTAGTATACCTACCAACTTGAGCAATTTGAGGATCTGCCAATCTGATTATTATCACTTTATTTATTATATGCATAATATACATATTTTATTACGTATTTTAAGTTATGAGACAAAATTGACACTAATATTAAAATTATGTCAGCGTACTGTTTGTTTTCTCTCTCTGACCCACGCACAACATAGTCAAAATACAATTACGCAAAATCTTTTTTTTTATGTTTTTGAGTAATCTTAAAGGAAAATCACCCATTTCAAAGAGGAAAGAGAATACTATTTTTGAGAGTATGATATATCAATTTGTCTAAATATTATCTCAAGACAATTCAAACATCATTTAAAACAATTCTTTTTCTAAGTCGAATACAAATTAAAGAATAATAAAATATAAAACTGATATGTCATACCCTCAAAAATATTATCCTCTATAATTTTTGTAATACTTAGGTAATTTTAATTTAAGATTACTCAAAAATCATAAAAAACCGATTAAAGGTGAACATGTTTTATTTATATGTTGTGCTTGGGTCTGAGAAAGAAAATAAATATTGCGCTGCCATACTCATAAGAATATAATACCTACAAAATGTAAATGCATGATTTACTGCTATTTTTTGCTTTGCAGTCTTACTGTTTTTAAACTAATTGATTTTTAGTTTTTACAAAATCTGACCACGATATAATCTATATAGTAACATGAGTTACAAATTACAATCAATTATATCATCAAATTAAGTTAAATGTATAGAGAAAAATAAATATTTATCAAACATAATAAAAAGTAAAATAACAACCTGATTCTAAATTCTAATATTATACTATTATTATGGCCTATAATACCTACTGATAGTACATTATTCCCTCGCATAATACATTTTTCATTATTTATAATAAGCGTTCTTTAAGTATTGAAAAAAAACATACGGTACATACCTATAGAAATAATATCACGTAGCTATTATTATGAAACCGGAGTTTATTTATTTTGGTAAACGTAATATTATAGGTATTAAGCTATGATCAAGATTTCTATACAAATAGGTTCACATCAATCATTGAATATGTCTGAATTAAAAAAAAAAATAAAACAGTTTTTAAATTATTCTACAGACCTATTCGACAATCTAAAAGTTTACAGTTTGTTTTTTTAAAATAAACATTTAACGTTATTCAGAAATGCTTGAATGGGCACACTATAGTAAGTGAAAAAAAACATAGGGATAAAAAGTGGGAGATTGATATGTGCACTATTCGCGTTTGAATATGTTACAATTATTTTTAATTTAAGTGAAGAACATTTATTTCGTAATAACTTCAAAATATTAACAAGTTTTCGAAATATTATATGCCATTAATCTTTGTTTACACAAATTTAAACAATGAAGCTTCACAAAAAATAATAATTATAGTAAATGAAAGCCATACATTTATTTATGACACTGCGAAGAAAAACAAATATAAACCAAATCATTTCTCTTTTATTTAAAAATTATTTGATGAATGTTTTAAAAATATATAATTTGATAGTAAATATTATACAACACAAAAATGAACATTATAATTTATAGCTGAAACAAAATCGTAAGTTTCGTATTTTTAAATTTATTTATTCTTGTTATGGCTTGTAAATTGTGATTAATATTTTTACCTTCATTAGAGTTTTTTTTATGGTTAAACTTACAAGTTAAAACAATAAAATATCTTTTAATTTTATGTTGAAATTATATTACTTTTGAACATTATTGAAGCGTAAAATGTATCGAATGCTTAAATGGCTATACAAGTATTATACTAATTATTATTACGCATAAATTATGTGTATATGACTTTTGATGATTATATTATACATAGAACCGTGGTTAATATGCTATTCAATTTACGAAATTGAATATCTTTAATTATTTTATATTCATGTATATATCAATCTATACACGGCTATTATTAATGTATAAATTGAATTGTAAGACTAATTGATTTTCTAGTTTACAAATGAACATTAATTAAGGTTATAGATCTATTTTATAACAGGTCATTGAACGATCTGTGTCCAAGAATGTCATCGATTCCACGGTCAAAGACGTCAATTTTGTGATGATAATCGATTCTACAAGTTAGTGTTTTTTTTTAGGTCTGTCCTTGACACGGATATAAAAAAGATCATTCTGTCGTTTGTCATTTAATTTTAGTTTTTGTCTTCTTTCTTTTAACTATCGTCTT